TACATAATACATAATGGAAAATAGAAAGAGGGCTTGGGGAAAGAGGGAGGTGACTGTCATGTTTCAGCAAAAGGTCTCTACTCTCATAAGATTTTTATTCCACATGGGAAAGATAAATACAAATTAATAATACATAAGAGGTAAAGACTGATAAGACTACAAGTCACACAGAGGGCGGAAACAGTTTAGGCAGTGAGTGGAACATAAATGTCTCATGAAGGTAGTCAGGAAAGGACTCTATGACCCAGTAACATGCGAGCCAAGGCCTCAATAGAACAAGAACCTTCCTCACAGGTCACTGCACAGGTCCTGAAGCAAGATAATGATTGGAGCTGTAATAAGGAGATAACAAGAAAGTCAGCAAGGATTGAGTGAGGGCAAAGACTGGGGAGTGACAGGAGAGAATGCCGCTGAACTAAGGTCAAGTGTAAATGACCAGAACTCCAACTTCAAAGTGATTTCAGAAAGTATAACTTACTACTTTTTTAGCATGTAAAGACCCTAACATGTGCAGTAATAGATGTAAACATTAAATGTTTTAAATTTTAATGTGTCTTCATGTACTGTGAGGCTTTATCTTTTTGAAAACTAAAATGTGAACATGTTGGCTATATAAAAAGGACTTAATCTGAATTAGTAATTCAGAGGAAATGCCAGAATGATTCATCTCTCAGTAAAATAAACAAAGAGAACACACACTCATTTAATAATATGTTAAGTTGTTCTCACAAAGGACTCTTAGAATGACAGTGAAAGAAATAAATTCAGAAATGTTACACAAGGTTTAAATTATAGCATCTAAATTAAAATTAAAGTTATCAGCAATAAACACTGCTGTTGTTCTGGGTTGTGCGGTGAAGAAGCATGTGTGCTCACACACACACACATACACACGCATGTGTGTATATATACTTATGAGCTTTGTTACTTGTGTACATTTGCAGTAAATGAGAGAATTCCGTTGTGTCTGAAATTTTTTTATAAGCAAACTTCAAGGTATTCGAGGCATTCTCATTCAGGTATGTATTTCTGAACATAAGTTTTCCTATTTGCTTTTTATAAAACAGATTTATTTCCAGGAACTTGAACCCAAGGTGCATTTAAAAAATGACTCTGCAAGTAGAGAAGACCTGATAAAGAATGAAGTTAAGTATTGTGCACCCCAGAAAAGAGAAACTAAATTTCAGAGATCATTTTTCCTCCAAAACAATCTTGATGAATGCACTCTTGACCTCTTTGTTCCTCAGGCTATAGACTAGAGGGTTCAGCATGGGGATGACCATGGTGTAGAAAACAGATGCGATTTTGTCTGTGTCCATGGAGTGACTGGAGCTGGGCTGTACATACATAAAAATACTAGTCCCATAGAAAATAGAGACAGCAGTGAAGTGGGAGGCGCAGGTGGATATGGCCTTGTGATGTCCTGCAGCCGACTGCATCTTTAAGATGGTGATAAAAATGAACACATAGGATATCCAGATAACTACAAAGGCAAAAAATATATGGAAGCTCACTATATAAACAAGAACCAGCTCACTAGCATGTCTATCAGAGCAAGAGAGAACCATGACTGCTGGAATGTCACAGAAAAAGTGATGGACCACATTGGACTTACAGAAAGAGAGACTGAATGTGTCCCCAATGTGAATAGAGGCATTCAGGAAACCAATGACATATGAGCCAATAATTAACCATGAACAGACACTGGTTGTCATAGTGGTGGTGTAGTGCAGGGGCTTACACACTGCAACATAGCGGTCATAGGCCATTGAGGCCAACAGGTAGTTTTCCACAGTAATAAAGGCTGCAAAGAAGAATATTTGAGCAGCACAGTCATTGTAGGACATGATCTTGTCTCCGATAAGAAACCCAGAAATCACTTTTGGAGTGACAGCTGAAGAATAACAAAAGTCCACCAGAGACAGGTTACATAGGAAAAAGTACATGGGAGTGTGGAGCCGAGAGTCCAAGAGAATCAGCAGGATCATCCCCAGGTTCCCAACCAGGGTGATGGTGTAGATGAGGAGGAAGGTGATAAAGAGGGGAACCTGCAGGCCTGGGTCATCAGTGAGTCCCAGCAGGATGAACTGTGTCACTTCTGTCCTGTTTTCCATCATGATGTTGGAGAATATCTGCAGCAATAAGAAAAAGTGCAAAATGATAAAAGTTAGAATTGAATGGTACAAGGACAGTATGTATCTGTCCTTATAGCTATAAATTATACCTCAATATTTTTGAAGTGAAAATGGGTTCTTGAAACCAAATGAGACACATCAACTTGTATGCAGGGTTGCATATAGTCAAATCTGGAAAATCTTACCGAATCATCTAAATATTTTTAACAATTTTATCAAGTTGTAAACTGATAAACAATTTAACAGTTTGGTCAAAATGACTAGGATGGATGAATCTACTTGGGCATTAATTTCTCTTGACCTCAGTAAAAGCTGACAGTTCCCTTTGCTCACCTGTCAATAACTGGCTGCAGACAATTTCTCTGTTTACCCATTGTCTGCTCTCAGCAAGGTTGGTTGCTGCAATCCTAAAAGTTACAAAGCACAAGAAGGTAATAACTAATTCACACCTGTTTGACCCTTAATTGGAAATCTAGTCTTTACCCACACCAAAGTTTAACCCATGCAGGGTAGTTCCTAAGTATAAAAATCTTGAGTATATTTTTATTAAATTTAATTCAATTTATATTTATTCATTGTTTCCTTTGGTTCAGACAGAGTGTTTCACAATGAGCTAAGCTAGTGATTAATTAGGTTCACATCTTGTTCACAATATTTTTGAATCTCAGTGGAGATAAAACAAGCAATTATCCTGAAGTAAAAAAAATCATACCTTTTCTAATAACAGAATTGTCATTAATGAATTTACAAATCTGACTTAAATTGTAACTTTTTTATTGAATTATCTTATCACTTGCATATCTGTCGTGTTTATGAAGATATAATAAAGTCATGTCTGTGGAGGCTAAAGATAAGTTTAATTACTGATTTATGCCATATAATGATGGTGAAATGGTAAGATAACTGGGGAATTCTGAGAACAAGTTCAACCTGAGTTAATGCATATTCCTGGGTATGTGCAACACAGGGTTCAGGTTTCTGTAAGAGATTTATCTCCAATATGTCATTTGTCTCCTAGGAGTCACTGGTCTTAAGACCCAGAACACTAGGTTTCCATCTAAAAATGAAGAGTACAGTGAGACCTAGTTCAGCTACCACTGCTAGAAACAACTCAGGTAGTATACAAAAGAAAGTGCACTTCTGAGCATTTACCCCAGAGGACAAAATCATATTACTGTCAGCATGAGAGAATGGACTTCATGTTTTGATCAAGGTTGTTGCTGGCCATGCAGAGCTTCTGTTGCTGGTGAGTATGTGAGGTGTTGATGCTTCCTTCCCAATTTCCCTTTTCTCTGACATTGATGCTGTTTTTGCACCATTCAGTGTTTCTCTGTATTTCTCTTTGGGGGGAGAGGGGTGTTTGAGATGGGTCTCCTTGCGTAGCTCTGGCTAGCCTAGGATTCACTCTGTAGATCAGGCTGGTCTTGGTCTCACAAAAATTTGCCTGCCTTCTGCCTCTGGAGTGCTGGGATTAAAGTCATGAGATACCACGTCCAGTTCTGTGCCTTCTTTACTCCAAGTACAAAAATGAAGCTTCTGCAATTCCATCTGAGCCATGTTTATTTTTTCAAAAATTTTTCCTTAATATCCCCCTTTTCAGCTGGGCAGAAAAACCCATCTTCCTTAATACACATTCTTTCTTTTATCAAACTGTTGTCTCACAACCAAATTATAGAGAACATGATTGAAAGATTCCCACATTATAGACTGTCTTTTTGGTCCTTAAATCAAATCTTGGTGACAGAGTTCATATTTTATAACAGTTTTCTAGATCTTTTCTGCTGTTGTTTCAACATTTAAAGTTCCCTCATTTGAATTGCAACCCAATGATAAAAGGAGGAAGGATTTCATCCCAAACTACTATTGTTACTTTTTCTGTAAGCCTTGGAAACTCCAGTTCATGAGGCTGTCCCTTAAAGATATTTTGTTGCCAATCTTAGAACCCATGATCAGTTTCAGCATATGCTATGTTCTAAAACCAACGATAAGGTATTTAAAAAATAATCATGTTAGGTGGCATATTATTCTTTCCTTTACTAATAAGGAAAGTGAGAAGATGAAAAGCAATATGATGCTCCAAAACTATTCAGGTAATGTAAGACAGACTCAAAAGTTTAAAGGTAAATCTGCCTTCCAATTAGAAGCATACATTGATGATTTTTTTAAAAGATACAAAATAACTCAGAAACTTTAGCTCATGTAGAGCCCCAGTACAGTAATGGGAGATCAGGAATTAGTTTGAATTTTTGTGTTTATTAAACCTTCAATGAAATGCAAATACACAATGCACACAATAAAGTTATTGTAACCATATGAGTGTCCCAGATGTCTTATTTACAGTTTTATAAGAATAATGACTGATGATATCAATCTCTGAAATTCCTATGATAAACATTTTCACATTTATACTCCAGCTTCACCTTAGTTTGTTCAGAAATCTTTTGAAAACATTCTTACATTCAAACAACTCACAGTAGGCAGAGGCCTCCCACTGCTATGGCATGAATTACACTTCTCACTTGAGTGGTTGTGGAACATAGAAGAGATATAATATATAATATTCTTTCTCTTTAAATAGAAGAGAAAGAATATTCAGTTCAGAATAGTGATTTGGGAACCATAAGTTCAGCTATGCTGTAGTTCGTAAGTAGTATCAGAAGAGTTCTCACAGGTGGAGGTAAAATGCTCTACTTTATCTAATGAGGGGAGAATGGAGGAGAGAACATCAGCATGGGCTAAGTTCTGGGCTTACTACATTCATGCATTCTTTCTGTATTCTTGGAAGAGCCACTTACCTCCTTATTTGTGCAAGAGACACTAAGACTATCTTTCTCTCATTTTACAGATAATGCCTGCAAGTAACAAATAAGAGAGGGATGGATGTAAAGTATCTAGGGAAGAGGTTTCTATTTAAAAATCAATGTCTTTTTTCTCATTGAGACTTTTCTCTCACCATGGCTGAAGCTCAACAGCAAATCATCAGGTCAGGAAAAGGCTGATGTGTGCTAACAGTGACTACCATCAGACAAATAGAAATGAATGTCAATGGGTATGGTCTATTCTTATAAAACAACATGACATTGAGCCACTCTGAGATTTCTGAGGCCAATGCATGAAATGCTGGAGATAATTGCAGAGACTTAGAAGTCTCTGGAGATTCCCCCCAAGAGAATGTCTAACCCCCTGTATCCACGTATCCTATACAAGAAATAATTAACCTTCCTGTGGGGATTGATGTGGCTATTACCTTTAAAAAGCATGTGTTCTTTGCCTGAAAAATGAAACAAAAAATATATAATTTAATGTGTTTTCTCATGAGAATTTTCTATAAATGTATACCATGTGTGATGTCTAAATCAGGTTAAATATATCTATCTCAAACATTTATCATTTCTTGTTTTTGAAGTTACATGCTATCCAAAATTATATTGATCCATTTATTTTTATTTTATATGAATGAGTGTTTTGCCTGAATGTATGTAAATATACATATGTTGTTCAATGCCTATGGAGGCCAGAAGAGGATTGTTAGTTCTCCTGGAACTAGTGTTAAGAACAGGTGTTAGCTGCCATGTGCATGCTGGTAACTGAACCTGGGTGCTCTCTGAGAGCAGCCAGTGCTCTTAACTCCTGAGCCATCTCTCCAGGCCCATAAAAACTACAAATGTATTTCTTAAATTTTTATTGAACTTTTTATGATTTTCATATGATTTTGATAATATTTATGTCTCATCTCATATCAGCCCCTCCCCTTACTTCCCTCCACCCAATTTAATGTACTCTATTGTATATATAATACAGCTTATAGAGTCTGTTTTGTGTCCCTGAATGTCCTTTAGTGTGGATCCATCCAGTGTATATTTTTATTTGGGGATTTCATACATGAGTATGCTGTATTGTCAGCCTTTCCTTGCTCTCCCCTTCAACTCCTCCCATGTCCCCTGACCACCCTCTCTCAAATCATGACCTCTTCTGCATTTAACTACTGAATCTAATTAGCATCACCTTTATTTGCATGTGATTATGGCTGTCCACCTAGGGTTGGAATCTGTCTCCCGATTGGCTGGTTCCTCCAATGGGCAGGGCCTGACACAAACGGGAAGTAGGAAGGGAAACCAGGCTCCATCTTGGGATGGAAGCCAGGAGCCACCAGTAGAGCGTAATGGTGTAGGAAATGCACAGCCAGCACAGCAACTTAAAGACAGAATGGACTGACTCCCTGTGGACCTGGGGCAAGATCGCTGGCCCAGGAGGTGTGAGTGAATGTTGGGCTGTGGGCATGGCATGGTCTGATAAGGCGGGCTCTGAGTGGCGGTGGCGCAGGGCTAGGCACTGGGTACTCAATTCCTTTGTAAGTTAATAAGCTCACATAAAATATATTATATGGTTTGTCTGATCATAACTGGAGACCCAGAGAGAATTTGGGCCACAGGATCTCATCCATGAAAACATAAAGCTTTTTTCATTTTATTATGTCCACTTCACGAGTTTATGTATATATCTTTTACATTTTTCACTATAAAAAACTTTTACTTCTTTGACCAAATTTATTCCTTTTTCTTGGACCTTTGTAAAGGGGATGGCTTTTTAAATTTATATTTCAGCTATCCATTTTTGGTATATAGGAATGTGACTAATTTTTGTTTGTGGTGTTTGATAATTTGAAATTTGCTAATTTCATCTATTAGCTACAATAGCTTTGTTAGTAGAAGTTTGAGGGAGATATATAGTTATAGATATAGATATATGATATAGATATAGATGATATAGATATAGATATATAGATAGATAGAGATATAGACATAGATATAGATAGATTAGGGAGAGATGGTAGATTGATACAAAGATATATACATAGATAGATAGATAGATAGATAGATAGATAGATAGATGATAGATAAAGATAGAGATATATACAGATATAGATATGGGTAGATAGATATGCATATATAGTGGATCTTAACTCAGTCTATGCATATATAATGGATCTTAACTCAGTCATAAAGATAAATTATGTCTTTGCAGGAAAAGTAGCTAGAAATGGAGACTTGTGCTAAGTGGAACAAACCAATCCCACAGAAATAGCTATCATCGCTTGAAACTTGTTTTTGTTATTGTTTTGCTGGGGTTTTATATATTTTTATTGAATTTTTGTGTATGTCATACACATCTTAATCATCTCTATACCCTCTTTCCCTATCAACACCCTCCCATAGCCACCAATTCACTGAGTTTCATGCATTCGGTCATTTATATTATCGCCTATTAGTCAAGTTAATATCCCCAGATGTCTGAATTTTTTTTTTATTTTTATTATATGTGTGTGAGTGTTTTGTCTACAAGTACAATTCCCATGTATGCAATGCCCACAGAGTCCAGAAGAGATCATTAGATCCCCTGGAACTGGAGTTAGGAACTATGGTTAGCCATCTTATGAATGCCAGGAACCTACTCAGGTCCTTTGCAAGAGCAGCAGGTGGTCTTAAATACTTAGCCGTCTCTCCAGCCCCTGCTTTTAAAAATATTTTAAATACATTCATTCCTTCTGTGTCTTTACATTTAAGAATTAAAATCATTTGCAACTACCATAATTACTGATGGTCAAGGTCTTACCTCAGCTGAATAAGTTGAATAATGGCTGCTGAATAAGGAACCATTCAGATATCTGGCCCTAAATTACTTACACTGGGCCATTTTCATCATGATAGAATAGCAGTTTGTCTACTATAAACATAGATTTGTCTTCCCTGCCCATGGTTCTTTGTTCAAAACTACCATTCATTGACATACAGAAAGCCTTAGCCATTATAGTATTCTACATAGTGTTCTAACTCACTCAAAGAATGTCAAGTGAGTCCAGTCTCATGGAATCTACTGATCCCCAATGTTCCTTGCTACCCTGATGAAGCTTTCTTGAAGCACTTCCAGAATGACATTTTGCAGTCTTAGTTGTAAAGCCAGTTGCTACAATACCTTCTGGGCTTCAGACAAGTTCTGTACAAGATCATACTTCTGACTCTGTCCATTACATGGGCTTTTAGGTTTTTTTCCTCCAATTGTTACCATTTATGGTTCCATGAATCAAGGAATAACTGATAATGCAAGTGGCATCAGTGGCTCACATAATACTTATTTCAAGAAGCAAAACAAAGAGGTTATTGGCCTGACAGTTGACACTGTTGCATTCCCTGTTGGTTCATCATGCCTCCAGATCAGCCATCAAAGGAAGGATTGTCAGTGTTTCCTGATGATTTCAGTGTTTCCTGACTAGTCATCAGAAATTGGGCTAGTAGTTCATAAGGAAGGAAAGAGCAAGAGATCAGGCATTTCCCTTAGCATTATTATGCCCCATGATTAAGTTCAATGGAAATGTGCACCTCAGTCGTAAAAGGATCATTCATGTCCTAATTTCAGGAATGAAGATTTTGAATAGCTCATTAAGCAAACAACCATGACCAGTTAATGTTTTTGATGAAAGCAAAGGCAGTAATAAAATACACAACAAATTATGCAATTAGAAATACCACTTATGATCAAATGACCAGAAGAAGTAATAGCTGCTGCAATTATCAAGAATATGTCCTCCTTATTCTGTTATGAAGATGTGAAGTTTATTTGATGTATTACCTCTTGTCTCATTATCAAGAACCATAGGATGAATTGATTTACATTACAGTATGTAAATGCTAAATTGTTAACTTGAATAATAGTTTAATTATGGGCTGTTAAGAGTAAGGGTGGAATTTAAGAGAACAGGGCTCAGCAGTTAAGAACACATGCTGCTCCTGTACTGCTCTTACAGAGGACACTTCCTCTTACAGAGGAAACTTCCTTCTCAGCATCCACAATGGACATCTCGCATCAACTGTAAATCCAGCTCCAAGTGGGCATGGGGGAGATGTCAAAGGCCTCTAGCCTCTGAAGCCACTTGCATTCATTGCTTATACTCCTACACACACATGCATACACACACATACACACACACAATTTAAAATAAAAGAAATCCTTAAAATTATTAAATATGAAAATCATCCAATTTCTTTGCATCCTATGGTGAGGAAAGGTTAGTAAGTTTTGGAGTCAGAAGAATTTTGTTATGTTAGATTAATGGATAGCTTTATCACTGCTTCTGTTTGAACATATCAGTGCAAAGGGGTAGATCTGTGATGAAGTTTGTAGGTGTTTTAGGAAGATATTAACATTTACTCAGTGGACATGGGTATGAATTGCTCTCCATTTTATAAATGAGGCTCAGTCATTCAATTGAAGTCTTGAATAGAAAATGAATCTTACTCTCTGGCATAAGAAGGGTGTTCACCAACAGACTATTTTGGAATGATTGATTCTTAGCTCTTCTTGATCATCTCCTGTGTTCTTCAGACTGGAAGAGCACCAAAGTTCTCATGAGTCTTTGCTGGCTAGCACTCCACAGTGTGTGAGTCATTTCCTAATGATATATTTCTCCTTCACTTTCTCGTTGTCTTTATCTCTCTCTCTCTCTCTCTCTCTCTCCATATATATGTATGAATCTCTATATATGTGTAACATGTATATCTGTACCGCTTTTTAACCTCTATAAACAATTCCTAATTCATTCTCTCTCTCTCTCTCTCTCTCTCTCTCTCTCTCTCTCTCTCTCTCCATATATATGTATGAATCTCTATATATGTGTAACATGTATATCTGTACCTATAAAACTAATCACAAAAGGAAGGAAGGTATAACAGAAGATTGGAAGAATAAAATATTTTAGACATACTGAAAACAAATAGCAAACTGACAAACACAAGTCTTCATCACAAATTACATAAGTGGATTAAGAAAGCTAAATGGGGCATGGGTGATAAAAAGCAATTAAACTAGTGATTTATACAGAATAACTCTCTACATTCAAAGGCACCAAAAGCATGAAAGGGATAAGATGGAAAAATTGGCTCTAAGTTAAAGGTAGCACACAGGTTATTTCTGCACAAAATGGACTGTGTGTCAGATGTGGGTGCACAAATCCTCATATATTAGAAGGACAAATTAATGAAAACAATATGAGTAGTGATCCAACAATAGAAACCCAAATATTTGAAGCAAACACTGATAAAACTGAAATGCAAAACTGACAGTTCTACAACAAATGGGGATTTCAGACACTCTTTTTGGAGAATGAGTGAATTCTCCTAATGTAGAATCAAATCATACCATAAAATTACAACAGAGAATAAACTAGGTGAGAAGTTGTATTGTTTCCTACAGTGGCACTAGCAAGTTACTACAAATGGGAGGCTTGCAAGGACACATACTGATGCCATCACAGTTCCTGAAGTCTGACATCACCCTCACTAAGATGAAATTAGTGGTCTGTGAGAGGTGTGGTTGCCTCATAGGCTCTGAGAAAAAGTCTCTTCTCTTCCTTGCCTAGCCAGCCTCTGCTTACTGCTGTCATTCATGACTTTGATCACCTTACAATAAAGTTGCTCCACAGTCACACTGAAAACCCCTCTTTCTTCCATAGCTAAATATTCCTAACTCCTTTCTATGAGGTCACGTGGTATTGCCTTTAGCGTACACATGGAAAATTCCAATGATTTCTAACTCTTGACACCCTTAATTTAATTCTGGTACTCTAGTGCATGTAAAATAATATTGATTGTTTTCAAAAATTAGTGAATGAATCTTCTGGAGCACTACTGAGCCCAAAAGACTATGATACATCAGTGTCGGTATGTACAGTTTTACTTAGTATATGAAGAAGAGCTCTGGGATGTGAATCTAGGTACTCAGTGTTTTCATAAGCTAAAGTGAATATAATATAGATTATTTTACATCTAAAACAATCTTTGTAAAGATTTCACTTCTTTGTTCCTCAGGCTGTAGACTAGAGGGTTCAGCATGGGGATGATCATGATGTAAAACACAGATGCAATTTTGTCAGTGTCCATGGAGTGACTGGAGGTTGGTTGCAAATACATGAAGAGAAGAGTCCCATAGAAAATGGAGACTGCAGCGAAACGAGATGCACAGGTGGACATAGCCTTCTGATGTCCCCCACCTGAGTGCATCTTTAGGATGATGATAAAAATCAACATATAAGACATTAAAATAACTAGAAGAGCAAAAAAAGATATTGAAGCTGGCTAAATCAATAAGAACCAGTTCATTAATGTGTCTATCCAAGCAAGAGAGAACCATGACTGCCGGAACATCACACAAAAAGTGATGAACCACATTGGACATGCAGAAGGACAGACTAAATGTGTCTGCAGTATAGATTGAGCCATTCAGAAAGCCATAAATATAGCAGCCTGTGACCAGCCCTGAACACACATGTGCTGCCATGGTGGTAGAATAGTGTAGAGGCCTATACACTGCTGCATAGCAAAGATAGGCCATTGAAGCCAACAGGAAATTTTCCACAGTGCCAAAATATCCAAAAATAAAATCTGAGAGGCACTGGCATTGTAAGAAATTATCTTGTCTCCTGTAAGAAGCCCAGTGATGAATGTGGGAGTGACAGATGATGAGTAACAAAAGTCCACCAGAGACATGTTACCTAGGAAAAAGTACATAGGAGTGTGGAGCCGAGATTCTAAGAGAATCAGCAGGATCATCCCCAGGTTCCCAACCAGGGTGATGGTGTAGGTGAGGAGGAAGGTGATAAAGAGGGGAACCTGCAGGCCTGGGTCATTTGTGAGTCCCAGCAGGATGAAGTGTGTCACTTCTGTCCTGTTCTCCATCAGTGATATCTGGAAATCTCTAGATGCTCTACAGCAATGAGAAAAAGAGAACATGATTGTAAAGAACTTGAAATTGAAGAACGTAAGCACAAGCTCCATTCTTTAACTGTAGTAACAGCTTGTAATTCCAGCTTCTCCACACAAATAACATTTCGTGCACTAGTTATATACAAGAGAACATACTGGCATATTTTAAGAATATTAATGGTTTGTCTATACAGTTTAAAAATGTTATGTTTTACTGAAATGTAAGCAATTTAATAACTTAATCAAAATTAGTTGTATTAATATAGATGGCTAGCACTGAGCTCAGTAGAAGCTGATACACTTTGCTCAACTCCTAGGAATGGTTTTAGACAATTTGGTTGTGCATTCCATGTTTCCAGTATGAAAAGTTATGGCTTTCTGTTATAAAATTGTGAATTATGAAGGACAGAATATTTAGTGATTCACTGATATTTCACAAGAATTAACTGGGCATTTTTGCTCTAGAGCAATTTAGAACTTTAACCCATGCTGAACAATTCTGAAGTTAGATGGTCTAAACTGAGCTAAAATCACACTAACTTTAAATCTTTTTATTAGTCCTTGTCTACGTTGGTTTAAACTCATTTGGGGACACATTGTGATAAGCTCAGTAATCGATTTAGTGGGGACCTTTATTGTTTACTAGAACTCTCATTGGAAATAACATAAAACAAAACTTTAGAGTCAAAAATGTTCTTTCAATACAAAAGTATCATCGGTGCATTAACAAACTCTGAATTGTGATTTAACCTTCCATGAATGTCTTATTAATATATGTTCATCTGTACACATTAATTGGGATATGACATAAACATCGACTTTTGTTTGAAAACATTAACATTTTATTAGACTGCAGAAGGACCTAACTATTTTGTTTTTTTGGTTTTGGTTTTTTGAGACAAGGTCTCCCTGTAGCCCCAGCTGGTTAAAAACCTAACCAGGCTGGTCTTGATCTTACAGAGAACCACCTGCCTCTGCCTCCAGAGTGCTGGAATTAAAGACTTGACTGTTGGATGACATCACACATGTGTATGCACAGTAGATGTGCTGGGGTTCTTGGAGCGGGAACATTTTCATCCTCCAGAAGAAACTCTAGGCAAAAGAGTATCATTAAATTTAGTAAACATAGAACCTAGTTCCAGGAACAGATGCCTATGAGACTTTCTAGTTACCACCTTAGAGTCATTGGTCCTAAACTCACTCATCTGAGCATTGGATCTCTGTATAGGGAAAGAAGTAATGAAACCTGCTTTGAAATATCATTGTGAGACTTAAATAAAATGGAAAACCAGCGCACAATGTTTATCAGAGCCTGCTGCTTGCTGTTATGTTGATACTAGACTGGGACAAAGTAGTCATACTAGTTGGTCAGTGTGGACACTGACATACTGGGCTCCAGTGGAGGGTGAGTTTGAGGTCTTGAAACTTCTCTCCCCAGTTTTCCTTTCCTCCTGTAATACAGTGACTGAAATTGCCTGTGCCTTCTGCAATTTCTCATTCTCTTCTTCCTTCAGGGATGGGACTGGTGTTACTCCAATTTCATGTGAACTATTCATTTTCAAAAATTTCCTTAAAAGTTTATTGCAGTTTGAGTTAAAGAGTACGTTGGTTATCTCTCTCTCTCTCTCTCTCTCTCTCTCTCTCTCTCTCTCTCATATCATTATTATTGCCATGATGTGGACAAAACACAGAGACCAAGGGTTGAAATCACCAATTTGACAATTATGTTAAGCTCACAGATCTATTATGATGGAAAGTTTCATGTCGTATTTTATTTGAATCTGTTCTTATGTAATAATAGTGTTTAAAACCTTCGATGGCAGATAGGGGAGGCATGGATGGGGGAGGGGGTCTGGATTTGAGTGGGAAATGTTGCATGAAATTTTAAAAGCTCAAAAAAAATTACTGCCGTATGTGGTGGCAAGCGCCTTTAATCCCAGCATTTGGGAGGCAGAGGCAGGTGGATCTCTATGAGTTCAAGGCCAGCCTGGTCTCCATAGTGAATCCAGCCCAGTTGTGGCTATAGGGAGACCCTGTTTCAAAAAGACAAAAAAAGTTTACCAAAAACCTTTCAGCCTCTGGAAGGTCCTATATCCATTATTGACCATTAGATTATTCCTTACTCTATTTCTCATAAAATTTTGGAAACTTCAGTTTATGAGCCTGCCACATGAAGGTAGTATGTTGGTCAACCTTGAGAGGAATGACTACTTTTAACTTACATTTCAGAGAAAAAGATAAGGGCTTTACATATTAATGTATATGTGCCTGGGTAAAGCAGGAATAATTATTGTTTTACATTTTAATTAAGGAAAATGAGGATCTGAGAAGTTTCTTGTACTTTGAAATATTGTAGTAATTATCACCTTCAATCTTCAAATATATCTTCTTTTAGCCACACTGTCACCTTGTGAGCTAGCAAAGACAAGCATGAGGTTATGTGGAAAAGGGCTAAATGAAGTTCACAGTGTTAGCTCACTGAGGACCTGTGTATACTTAGATTCTCTCACCCTTCTAGGTGTTTGCCTCTAATGAAAAGTGAACAAGAGAAAATAAACAGCTAACCAGCTAGAGCATCGTGTGTTTATTTTGTGTGTAGGTTTTTTAGGCATAAGCTTTTTCAAAAAGATCAAAATCTCCCTAAGATGGAAGTTTTCACATCTATTAACAAGAGTCACCTCAGGTTTTGAGAAAAAGATTGCAACCACCTTTCTCATTTACCGTAAGCACTACTGCTTACTGCTGTTACATGATCACAGGTCTCATGAACAATGCTGATGGAACACAAAATCTTACCTGTTTGTTGAAGGAGAAAAATCCATCAATGCAGAATATTGATATGAAGCTATAAAACCACCTGGGGAATGTCATGTAGATTCTGTTCGAGAAGATCCCCTTCAGAGAACAGTGAAATGGCTCCAGGTTCCCTAAGGTAATAAAAAAAATAGAATAACTCATTGATATGGATCAAGTTCTCAATATACCAAGAATTCTTAATATTTCTTGACTCACTTATCACTTCCTGGCCTGCAAAATAAACATGTGATTACATCTCTCTTATAACTGAATGACTGCAGTCATAAGTAACAAAGAAGAGAAGTGTATAAACTATCACACAAAGAGATTTTAATTTAAAAGTCTATTATAACTGCTTTGTCTTTGGGTATTTTCTCTAACCATCATTGAAAGCTTATAGCAAATCCTCAGGTCAGAAGCCTGTAGATACTAACAGAGATTGTCAACCAGATCAATAATAGTGATTAGCAAAGCATGACAGCATGTTCCTTTTAAATCAATATATGGAGTCTTCCATGGAGATCTGAAGGGAACTGTATGAACTTGACAAGCTCAGAAGTTTTCCCTATGAGACTATGTATAACTTGTGATTCTATTTCTAAGAATGAAGCAATTAAATCACCTATGGGGAGCAAATTGATTACTTTAAGGCTCATGGATTTTTGTATTGCATATATTTTGTTTGGTAAATGTTCCTGTGAATGTCAATTTCCATACCATAGAATCCATAGATTTTAGTACATTGTTCTAAGATTTTTGCCTAGTGTATGTCAGATATCCACCACCACAATCACTTAAATGGTTTATCTGAACCCTTCTTTGATAGTTGTTTCTGCCATTTATAATCTCTAGTATCAAGTTAGCTGTTTTTTCCAAGGCAATGTTTCTCTCTCAAGACTGTTCTTAAATATAACCCTGGAATACATGGACTTTGAACCTGGCATTTATCACCCAGCATTTCAAGCTCCTCCCTCCATCACCCATGTCATAATGGATCTATTTTATTGAAGAGCAGTATGCTATTATCCAATCATTAAAAGTTATCTTTTCCTTTCTTCAGTTGAAGTATATTTGTGTTGGTTTTAGTGTTAGGTGATCAGACATAAATCTAATATAAACTTTTTGTTTTATTTTTCATTTTTAATGAGTTTTGCATTTAATATAATAGATATTAATCATATTTAGAGTCTGTGGTTGTTTGAATGAGAATGTCCCCCATAGGCTCCAAGTATTTGGACATTTTATCCCCAGTTGGTGACACTGTTTTGGGAGGTGTCAGAAGGTGTGGCTATGCTGGAAGAAGCATGTCAATGGGGGCAGTCTTAGAGAGTTCATAAACCTTGCAGGATCTCAAGTCACTCTCTAGCTTACTGTGCCTGTTTGAAGATGTGTGAGTTTAGCTTGTGCTCCTTCTCCAGCCACCTCTGCTGCCTTGCCTCCCTGCCATGATGGATTCTTGCCCCTTTGGAACCATAATCTCAAATAAACTCTTCATTCTATAAGTTACTTTGGTCAATGTTTCTGTCACAGCAACAGAAAAGTAACTATTACAGACCCCACACACAAACACATCAGATTTCATGCATTCTGTCACCTATGTTAAGTTCTATGTGGTCAAGGATTTGTACCCAGATGTCCCTCAGTCAATAGCTTTTTTATGTGGTTACTATTTTTTGTAGTATAAATTAAAAATGTAGGTGTTAAGTTGATTTATTCTATTTTTTTCACTTGTGTGTATAAGTGTGGATGGCTCATAGTGCACTTGTGGAAGTCTGAGGACAGCTTGTGGGAATCTGTTCTTTCTTTTCATCATGTGAATTCCAAGGATCAAATTCATGTCATCAGGACTGGTGGCAAGCACCCTTATCTGCTGAGCCATCTTGCTGGTCACAAGTTCACTTTATTTTTTTCTAGGTCTTCTTGAGGCAGGGACTCCCTGAAGCCCCAGTTGGCCCAGAACTCACTAGGGAGACCAGTCTGACCTTGAACTCGTAGAGAACCACCTGCTTCTGTCTCCT